TGTGTCGTATGTCTGAAAAATAGAAGGAAGTAATACTTACAAACTTATTTTACCACTATTTTTATTTACTCTAAATCTAAATTTTCGAAAATTTCCTCCTCTCGAGATAAATTGTACAATGTACAAGATTGGTCACATTTTCTCACTTCCTCCCACAATTTGTCTGCTAGATTACACGGCCCTAAATTTTTACAAATTGTACGATGGGTAGTGCCATTGCACATTTCTTCATGATCCGTTTTATCGCACAACGCCCCAAGATAAACCGGACAGTCCCTCCTACATCGTCTTAACTGTTGCGTCCGGTCGTAGGGCCCGGGACCCATTGCATTTCTCCCAGCCCAAGTATATATTCAGGTCTCGGGTTTTAAATTTTAAACAATCGGACGCTTAATCTTTCTCTAAAAACATTTCGTCATTTTTAAAAAATTGATGGACGAAACCATTACACTCGTCATGATCGAATGGATTCTTTGAATACAATTCTACAGCCTGAGGGTTGGAAGAACTGGGACCAGGACTGTCCGGAAATACCACGAGGGGCGAAGCGTTTCCTGTTGAGTTCCGATCATCTAAGACTGAAAAACTTTCAGGAGAGTTCGAAATTTCAATGACTCGGACACTTTCAGAGGAGCACGAAATAGAGGCCTTGTACACGGGACAGAACGACGTACAGAGGAACATTTCGATCCCCCTCACGAATGGCTGAGGATCTTTATTATAAAAAAAGTGCCATTCACCATCGCACTCCTCTAAATATTTTTCCCGACATTATTATTTATATTATATAATTACTACGTACTATACATGCAGTATAGTAGTATTATATATTTTTATTTATATTATAATATTTTTTTGTCATGATGAGCCGTAAAAATTGAACAACAAAATAGAAAACGAAAAAAAAGATAAATGAAAGTAGAGGGAAAGATAAATAAATTAAAAAAAAAAGAGTTCACAAAAATCATCAAAATAAAAAAAAAGAAGAATGAAACCTCTTCTTCCATGTCATCGTCGGGCGGAAAAGTCCTTCTCCCAGCGGGCTCTGGCCTCTTCCTTCTTAAAATAACTCTATAATACAAGAAAAAACGAAAGATACCTAAAAATACTACAAATATAACAAAAGTAAAGAAACTTAACACTACTACAACCAAAATATAACATCTAGGAAGAAATCGGAATCTTCCTCCTCGTCAGGATAGGGGAGGACAAGGGGCTGTTCAACCTCATCTTCCTCTTCAGAGTCGTAGAAATCCTCCTCGTCGGTGGTGTACACCTCTTCTTCTATGTCATCGTCGGGCGGAAAGTCCTTCTCCCAGCGGGCTCTGGCCTCTTCCTTCTTAAAATAACTCTATAATACAAGAAAAAACGAAAGATACCTAAAAATACTACAAATACAACAAAAGTAAAGAAACTTAACACTACTACAACTAAAATATAACATCTAGGAAGAAATCGGAATCTTCCTCCTCGTCAGGATAGGGGAGGACAAGGGGCTGTTCAACCTCATCTTCCTCTTCAGAGTTGTGGAAATCCTCCTCGTCGGTGGTGTACACCTCTTCTTCTATGTCATCGTCGGGCGGAAAGTCCTGCTCTTAGCGGGCTCTGGCCTCTTCCTGCTCTTGCAACTGTTAGAACACAAAGAAAAAGGAATAATCTTCCGACCAAAAATCTTCTACTTCAAAACTACATGTTCATTGCCTGCATGTACAGGCAACAATCATAAAGAGGGCATCTACGAGAGGAATATTGCATACGGAGGGTCAGGGTTCAAAATTCCTTAAAGCATACTGAGAAACTTCTGCACTGTACTACAGTGCTAACGAAAAAATATCGCATGAAGCTTCAGGCGTTGCCAATTTGCATTTGCTCAGCCATCAATTTCCACGTAAACTTAATAATTTATTCTTACAAATTTTATTAGGATAATTTTGTCTACAACATGAAGTCATGAATTTATAGTCGTAGTATATTGCAATTATAAATAAAATACTCAACGAATTAAGATTCAAATTAGAGCTACCTTTATTACAAGACTATTATATCGATTAATTTCTGGGACACAGGGTGTCTCTCATTCTCTCCTTTTGAAACGAGTTTCCTCGCTTCGTCGGAAAAGAAATTAATGATATGCTGCAATTTAATTACACTTTTCAACGCCATCGCTTAGTTGTCGGAAACTTATAATTGAGTTTTGAGGTTATGTTATTGTTTAGAACCAATCGATATCGATATATTGCATCGATAGAACTGCTGTTTGATGGATCGAAAACCATCTACTCGTAGGAATCTGAATTTAGGGCGGGAAAGGTGTACTGCCGGCAAAACGTTACATGCTTGTAGGTTAAATACCCCGCAACCCACCTATGCTCGAAAATTCCGAGATTTTCCCAAAGCAATGAGCCTTTATGGGAAAAATTGTATTTTTTTTTTTCTTAATAATGAAAATTGTAGACCTGTGTATTTCATGATTGTCAGCTGCTGGATGCAGTTCTATGCTTTCATTTGTCACATCGTTATATTTTGCCTGTAATCAGGGAAGCCCTATCAATAATAAGATCATAAAAATCTGTAAACTGTCAGTTCTAAACAGTGAAGAAAAGAATGTTATAATGAACCCAGAATCCAATATTTGGCATATCTTTGTAGCGGACATTCATCAAGGAATCAAGAGGCAAATGCATGGAAGCCCCCAATTTTAAAAGTTGAAGTAAAATTTTTAAAAAGTTGATTTTGTTAAATAAGGGGCTTGGAGCACAAGACGTCTAAGTGAAGTTCTCGAAATAATCGAGGTATTAATGATTTCAACCAAAGCTAGTCTTGAAATATATTCTGTGGTTATGCAACTTTATTTCAAAGCATCTAATGTGAGCTTACATTTTCTTTCCCCTATAAAGCTTTATGTAATTTTAAAATTTTAAACACGTATTTCTTGAATTAGCAAAAAGTGAACTTATGCGCCTTGTCCTCCAAGACGTTCAATCCTCATTATTTTTGCAAAGACATTTTGATGTATCGATTGTAAAACACTTCCCCAATAACCTGCTTATATTTTCAAAAATTTTATTACTTAAAACTTACTTTTTTTACTTTTATTACTTAATTTTATTACTTTTTTTTATTTACTTTTTATTTTTTTGTTTAAAGCGGTATAGCTTTTCTTATCCCTGTTTAATCATACCTATCTAGTCTCATTCTGACATCCTTAGTTTTCCTATTATATTGTAATAAATTGATTTTTAGCTTTCAATTCAAAACTTTCAATTTTTTTCAATTTTTTAATGAGTTGTATACGGGTTAATCTTGAACCTAACAAATATTCAGTCTTGGACTATGTAGATGAATGTAATCCCACAACCATTTTGTGCTATACACGAATCCAATCGAAGAAGCTAAGTACTTGAGAATGAAATCACTCCGCACTTTTTTATGTGTCGTCGCGTGTCAGTGTTTTTTTTTTTTTTTTTTTTTTTTTTTTTTTTTTTTTTTTTTTTTTCAAAAAAAAAAGTCAATCACAATCATAGTACGTATTTTTCTACTAAAAACATATCTTTACCGTAGTGTAAAGTAGATGTAAAGGCTATTTTTTTACTATGTTCATATTTTCTGGAGGGCACAGACAGTGAGAGGTATCCTCCCTGCACGGAGAAACGATTTCCAAAGCACCAATAGGAACGTTCTGTTGATATTTCCTCGTTAGATTCGTATTTGAGATTGCCGGAATTTCTGTCGCCCCAGTGGGATTCCGATTGCCGTTACAAGAATTCCATCGGGACAACGGGAATTCCAGTTTTCTCAAAAAGAAATCCAATGAGAAAATTTATGAAAGGCAAATTTTTCTTCACGTGGGACGATACCTGGTTTCCCCTGTTACTTCAATTACTCATTTAGGACGTTCCTCATTTGTCGTTTGTACAAGTTTTCTGTTGTTTTTATACCAATAAACATTGTATTCATGACTTCAATTTGTATTCTCATTCTTTGAAGAATTTTTTGAACCATCCCAATATCACTTTTTGTTCGAACTGTTTCGTTTTTCTTTCCTTATTGCATCTGCAAATGCTTTGGCGGAAGAACAAACAAAAACAGGAAAAATAAAGCATTTAACTCTGTGAAAATCAAATGAATCTCTTTATAATTAACAATTACACTGGGAAAAAAACACATTGGATCTAGAGTCTTGACTCTTAAAAACGTTGACAAGAAAAAATACTCAGATTCAATCAGATTTAAGCTTAAATCAAAAGGAAATCCGCTCAAATTAAAAGGCTGGGTCCTTGGTTTAAGCTTAAATCCGATTGAATCAAGAGTATTTTTTCTTATCGATGTTTCTTAGAGTCTTGACTCTAGATCAAATGTGCTTTTTTATCCAGTGCATGTTAGCGTTTTATACATGAATCTCCGCAAATAGGTACGATAGTCTCTAAAGTCAGTTAAACTAAGGACCAACGTTATAATCTTTATTCAGCAATATGTATTGTTCGTGAATAAATGGCACTCTAAAACTAGTGTCCATATGTTCAAAGTCAGAAGCGCTCAAATAAGGTAGAGAGTAATGCTTAACATCTAGAATTCGGTGTTCATTCGGAGTTTCAAGTTGAAAACACTCATGAAGTTGTTCAAAATGTTCTGAAAGGAAATTTAATTCTCCTCTGAAGAACTATTTCTAATGATCGACGGAGATTTGTATGATTATTTTGATAACCCCGTTGTTTTCTTGAGGAGTGGTGGCGTTGATGCTGATCATAAAATACAGGATTTTTAAAACTTCCATACAAATGGAGGCGCATTATTATTAGGAGAATTGCACAGTTATACCTATTAAGACTTAACTTCCTGCTTTAGCAACTTTCTCGTTCCCAAGCACAGTGAGAAAATAAAGAGATGTAAGATCCCTGAATATTTAACAACAGGACTTTCAGTTAAGTAAAATTTGCTCACTTTTGAGGGTAGGCGAAGGGATGTTGGCACGAAACCAAAAGGACATAGTTCAAACCAGATGCATCATGATCAAGTTTATTAGAAAGAAATCATATCACAACAATATGGAACCCCAAAAAATAGGTTTGAAATCTTACTCCTCTTTAAAGCTTCACCAAGTGAAGTTCAACACCTATTTTCCAATTGACATTTTTTTTCTCGACGTTGAATTTTCCTAATATGTTCGGAAATTTACAACCTAATATTGTCAACTTAGTTTTTCCCAAAACGGACCGCATTTTGGAATGAGGGACTATTTGGATGTATTTCTGCCAAACGGAACTAGGTGCATTAAGACATGAGCCCTAAGACCCATAAGAATATATGCATGCATACCAGGGCTCACGTCATAATGCACATAGTTCCGTTTGGCAGAAATACGTCCATCTCTGGCTCACTAGTAAAAATACCAATATGCGTAGGAACACTAATACCACATATCGACTGTGAAACTCCCAAACCACGCACGTCGGTTTCCGACGTTGTAGACTTCCTATAATAAGTAATTTATCAAATGAAAAACTACTCGACGTGAATGCTTTAATAACTACAGCGATTTTTTCTTCTCTGTGCAAAGAAAATTCTGTGAGAACTTTAAGTGTAAGTTCCTATGTTGTCCTCAAAGAAAAAAAATGGGAAGCGTGGAGATTTTAAAACACCAATTCACGTGGTTTTGCAGTTCCACCTTAGATATGTTGTTTCTAAAATGAGCCATAAATACTAGCTCTCATTGTGAAATGTTGCTTCCAAATGTGGCCTGATTTCTTGTTTTGCCTAGTTCAGTCCAGTGCGTATCTCCAAAAATAATTATTATCACTGGAAATTGTCCGTAATTTGTGAATTTTGCTGCCGAAAGTGTTCAGTCCACGCCAGAACGGTATTCAATGGCGAAAAGGGGCAGTTTTGTCCCAGCGATTCTCGACACACGTATGGTCCGTTCTCCAGAGGCCTGGAAAAAAGTAATTAAAGCCGGTAGATAGAGACCAAATGGACGTGTTTATGCTGAAAGGAGCTATGTGCAAGTGGAAAGATGGGGTGTGCCCGTGGTGAGCTGGATAAGAAACAATGTAAAAGTGGAAATAGTTCCATTTGAGAAAATTGAAAAGCGGTATTTTACATTATATCAAAAGGAACTGAGCGCTAACTCGTGAGCCGTGGACATGTGACGAGAACGTTGTGGACAGGGCTCATGAGTTAAAGCGCCCTGACGACTATCTCCTCGTCTTCCTCGGTCTCGGTCGTCGACGATGACGTCACTGGCGCTTTAAAACCCCCATTCATTCATATGCAACTAACGAGCACACCCCATCTTTCCAATGGATCACTAGACAGGGTACGAATTTTAGCATTCTAATACATGTTTCTAAACCAAAATTTCACGTAAAACAAGATTTGCGCAACAAAAGTTACTGAAACCAACTCTTAAAGAAGATATTAACGTTTTTATTTCACCTCAGTTACGAGGAATTTGAACTGGCCGCTCACAAGAAACTCAAAGCTCTACGTGAGTCAAATCGCGCACTACAATAGTTTCAGCAAGCTTCTCAATCGAGCGATGTTCATTTCCCACCATGCGTTGTTCAAACTATAAGCAACTATAGCTGAGCCAAAGCGTCAAGACTGAGGTTGCCAAATGTTTATATCGTTGAGACGTTTATGATAACGTTTAGCGCGCGATGTGAATCACGTAGAGCATTGAGTTTTCATGAGCGGGTGGTTTCAATTCACGCATCAAGAATCATTAAATATCTTCGTAAGGAGTTAATTTCGGTAATTTTTGTTGTGCGTATCGTGTTCTATTTGAAATTTTGGTTAGGAAACATGTATCAGAATGCTGAAATTCGCACCTTGTCTAGTGGTCCCTTGCACTTAGTTCCATTTAGCTCAAGTACGTCCAAATAGATCGCATAGCACGAACAATCAAACACCGAGCACTCTTCAGATCCTTTCACGACATGAATACTTAGATTTGACGGGCAAAGGTAATTCAATAAAACTCGCCGTAGTTCGAACGTATTCATGCTAAAAGGAACTAAGTGCATAGGATTTGCGTGAGACATAGTTCCTTTTAGCATAAATAGTCCGTTTGTCGTTTCCCGCACGAAGGAACGTAACTCCATTCCAAGGTTGCCGAATTGCCTCAAACGAATTTATTTTTTACGAGAATAAACCTGCGTAATTTTCGTCGAAAATTTGTCCGATCCTTGCATGAAATCAGAAGGAAAAGCGGTAAAAATTCTAGTCCGAAATTCTCAAAGCTCTCTCGGTAGAAATGGAATTTGCACGGAAAAATCTGGCAACATTGCAATGTAGTTACTTTCTTCCGAGAGGGGAACGTTGAGTCGCTCGGTGGATCGAGTCAATAGGAGGGGTCGGACAAAATTCTGAAACTTCCAACGCTAATAACTCCGTTTATACAAAACTTTGAGGTTCCAAAAGTGGTTCCGTTAGTTTCCTCGTGCAATTTTCTTCTACGAGCACCCCTTGAAATTTAAATTACGACGAAATAATCATAAAAATTTGCAGTTTTAGTCAAAAATTTCATGTCCGACCTCTCTAATTGACTCGATACACTGTGAGTCAATACCTCGTCCCAGCAAAAGAAGGTGCTCTGTGAAAATGAGTCCCTGCTTCGTCACAAAAGAAGGAGAAAGCCGCGCACTACATGATCGATGGCCCAACTGCGAAACAACGTATCTGTTGGCGACGTTGAAGACTTCCTGTCATACCTTATTTTTTTTTTTTTTTTCATTTGGTCTCGTCATTTTTTAGGGGGAGTTTTTTGGATTGGGCCGGGGTGGCTACCGCCACCTAGAATTCTCTCTTTCGGAAACTAATCAAGATAATGTCTTGAAAATTTCCCGAATTCTCCTTCTGTCAGCAGAATATTCTGTATTCATTATTGGACTTAATTTTTCAATAAAGAACTATAATGTCTGGCTCATCTGTAAAAACACTTCATGGGAAATCATCTGCATGGGGAAATTAATGGCAGATATGTTGTTTCTAAAATGAGCAAGAGACTAAAGTTCCCATTTGCAAAATGGAGCTCAATTTCAAACTATACAGTTGGCCTGTTTCTTAGCTAAGAAATAAAGTAGGAATACAGGTTTTGCAACATTAAAAAAGAGATATATCGACGGTGCAAGTCGGCAATCACATAACTCGGTTTGCGACGTCGCAGACTTCCTGTCATACTTTATTTTTTAAATGGAAAACTGCTCAACGGCAATTCTTCAAAACTGTCATGATTTTTCTTTTCAATGCGAAGAAAATTCTGCAAAAACTTCAAGAAATAATGTCAATTTGCTCTCCTTTAAAAAAATGACGTAGAGGCGGAGATTTTCAGACACCGCAAACGAGTTATGTGATTGCCGACTTTCACCGTCGATATGCAGTTCCGCACTTATTGGGTTTATTTTTATGGGTAATTTTTAATCTATTCGTCTTTTGGTGCTACAGAAGGAGCGCCTTTCATTAGTTAGCCCAGGCAATAGAGGATAGAATAGGGGTTTACCTTGCAAAATTTAGGTGAAATCAGGTTATGATCGATTCCTATGTAATTTTTTACGCTGAATTCGAATTTTTGGTTTCCCAACAAATTTTCCTTGTGCTAACTCCGGAAAATCGGAAAAACCGCGAAAAATCACGTTTTTCCGCGGTTTTCCCGAGATATCTCTTTTCCCGTGCGATATATCGAGAAAATGGTTATTTCCAAAAATAAAGCTGATAAAATTTCCTATAAAAATGATCTGAACGTTTTTCTCATACGTCCACTAGGGAGAGAGCTGGAGCCGTGGAAAGCTCTAAAAACTCGTAAAATCGCGATTTTCCACGGTTTTTCGCCATTTGTGTGCAATAAATTTGTTCTTTCGCAAAATTTCAGGATAGTCTTACCTTAAAAATTAATGCTGCCTACTTTTAAGACAAAAATGATGCCAATTTTTTCTTTATAGGTCCATTGGAAGCGGTTGTAAAGCCGTGAAAAGCCATGAAAAGCTCGAAAATCGCGATTTTCCGGCATATTTTCGTAACAAATCCGTTCCTGTCCAAAAAACTCATTTAAAGTGACTTCAAAATTCAATCTTATAAAATTGTCAACATACATACGTAGAATTTGCTCCCATGGCGCGCCCTCGTGCTCTGCGACATCCAAACGCCAGGTGTGCTTATCTA